CATTCATGGTGAGGAGCTGGAGACTGTGATGTTTATCACCAATTAATCTCACAGTCGATCCACTAAACGCTTCCAAATGTTCGAATTACATAGTTACAGGTACATGTGTATATAAATTGGGAGCCTCGGGGCTGGGCCAGCCTTCCCATGGCTACGTCGTTGGTATATAGCTATATCAGAAGTGGAGCTGTGAAAACTCCAAAGATGTCTGGTATATTAAAGGGGGACATGGTACCCCGCATTTGCGTTTTTTAAGCATATATATATATATATATATATATATATATATATATATATATATATATATATATATATATATATATATATATATATATATATATATATATATATATATATATATATATATATATATATGCTTAAAACCTCTCACTCCCAATTAAAAGGTAAATGGTCTCTCAAATCTGTTTCCACCACATTTCGTAAGCTGTAAATAAAGTATACCTACCAACTATGGGAACAACAAACACGGCCACAAAATTATGGCGACTGTGAAATGACTTAAATCAAACAACAAAAACAAACCAAGCAAAAAACAGATTCTGAGACGTCGACCGAGGCCAGAGCAGAGAGCAAAATGACCGAAAATAATATGAGCCGAAAGTATTGACATATGTGCACATAATTACGAATATATGTATACACGGGAATAATAACAACGCCAGCCACTGACATAGCTCTTCAACTCTGTTGAGCACAGCCAATGCCAGCGACAACACAAAAACATCAGAAGCAACCAACAAAAACAACAACTAAACCAACAGCATCATCATAAACCAAAGCTTAAAATAAAGCATAAAGTGTATGTGTGTGTACATTCGTATCATTAAAACGTACAACATCTACCCAAACATAAATATACACATATATACACTCTGATTAATGTGTATCTCGCGCAACGTGTGTAGTGCTGTGTGTTCAATTTCAGAATTGTAATATTGAATTAAGTTTAAGTGTATAAAAGTTGCGTCGCCCAAAAGACTACCAACGACCGACCCCGAGACCAAAATACAAAATAAATAAAAAATAAAAGCAAACACAATGGATCGGACGCACACACACACAAACACATACACTCCCATCTACACACTGACAGAACAGTCTCTCCGCCCGCCTCAGCCCTCTAACCGACAGTGTGATGAGACACAGAAACAAATCGAACAACGACAACGGCAACGAACGACAGCACAATGAAATGTAAAGCAAGAGTAATACGAAAAAACAACAAAGACCAAAAATAAAACAAACAAAGTCCCTCGGCAGACGAAGAGGAGGAAGAAACGAAGCGCAGCGTACATTCATGTACTCGATAATAATGGTGATGCCAACAAACAATTCATGCCGAGTTTGAGATATCACAACGACAGCAGGAGAATACCAACAACGGCGGCAGAATACCGAACCCCACCGAAACACCAGCGGCAACCAACAAATCCGAATACGCCGAGACAAAAATTAAATCAATTTGAATGGAAACAATCACTTGCTTACAATGCTACTTGCTATTGTGTTTGTGTGTATGTCGTGTTGTTGCACAGTGTTCAGCAAGACCTACACTTGTCCATAGTTTTTTGCTAGTCATTCATTTTTGCCAGCCCTTTAGCACAGTAACGACCCATGCATGTCACCAAGCAAAACAGTGGAGGTGTCAAATATAAAAGACTCGTACTTATGCTACAATTAAAATAACAATAACATTTTTGATCAGGGTCCAAAACGCCGCTTTAGCAATAGAAACGAAAATTTTCATCCTTGCCTTCTAAAAAATTTTCAAAAAATTTAGCCCATCAATTTACAAAAAGATTTAGCCGTGAGAGCTAATGCTACTTGAAATCGTCAGCAAAGGCGAAATAGCAGTGAGCGGCTGAAACCTTTGAAATGAAATTAGCCTTAGCATCAAAATAGCTCAGCACCAAAAAAAGCAACATGACTGCTGCTGCTTAGCTCGGTTTTAGCCAACAAAAACTAATAATCATTTGTGAGTTCAGTGTTGCTTATAAAAATTTCAGGTCGTATGAAATTGCGATAAAAATCGCATTTTTATCCATTTGGTATTTTCATATGTAGACAATGTGCAATTGTTATTGAATCCTATAAATTTCTGTTAGTTTTGTGAGATATTATTCAAAATATTTAGAAAAAATATTGGTAAGTTACAACTCAAAAAAAAACTTAGATTAGCTGACGAGCTCGAAAACATATGTACGTGTTTTATTAACTTGTACGTTGACAACACACAATCGTAAAAATATGTTTTCGGTTGCTCATTCGGCTAAAACGAAAATAGCAGCAGCCAACATCCGAGCTATTTTTTTTATTTTGTGTGCTGAATTTTTAGATTTATTTTCGGTTAGGGCTAAACAAAAATAGTTCGCTTATCAAAAACGAGCTAAATAGCTGATCATATGCTATATTAGCCGTGGCTGTCAATGTTAAATACCAGTTGCACTGAAAGGTTAGGGCAAATTTCAATAGGTGCTGGCTTTTAGACCCTGTTTTTGATCCATTTTATTCTTGGAGCAATGAAATATATTCATGGTTTTCGACCCGTGCCACGAGACCATGCAAAATTTCTTGGCAAACCCGTTAAACAATTTATAGTCGCCCGTCGTACTAGTTTCGGGATCAAAATCAGATCATAATTGAGACCTGTAAAGTAATTGCAATTGATCGTGGGCTGACGGACAAACATAGATAGAACAAGGTAGAACAAAGCTGCCCTCTAATACAATTTTTTTCAAAACGTATGCACATTTTGTATATGTGTGTGTTTTTGTTTTGAATAAAAAATACAATAATTTAGATTATTTCAAATTTGGTTGCAAAATAAATGCAAATTTTCGACGTAATGGGTAACAAATTGTGCTATTTTGTGATAAAACTGTATTGTCCTACTATTTCAGAACGAACCCAAAATTCCATTCTTGTTTCGCTGGTTTTTTTCCAATTTCCAAATATTGTTAAAAATTAAAAATAAACAAAGCCAACTGTTTCATATTTAAAAGTCTATTTGACACTATAAGACTTCAGCACAGAGTTGCATTTTTCTAGTTTCTTTGAAGTTGTGCAACCTTTCTTATTGAGCCATGGCTAGATCAACTCAGCTCGTAGAGATAGAAAGATCGATATACTACATGGTGAGTCAAGCACAGCGCTGTTCAAAACCGTGTGCTAAAACATCAGTCCGGAAAAGAGCTAATTTAAGAGAAAACTTTATAACCATTTTACGACTCATGTTAACCACATTTCAAAGTTATAATACGTGTGGGATATTCATATGTAACTACTGTGCGCCGCACAGAGCCCACATGTTGCAAACTAATTGTGCCAACACCGAACCAAGCATTACTGGCGTGTTGTGTCAAATGCCAGTCACACACAACGACGGCTCCCGTTCCTCCCCCACCGAGATACCAACAACAATTATTACCTTGCAAAATAAACACACAAACGACTTTAACTCATTTGATTTGTGCCAAAAACGGGTTTATGTTAAAACAACAACAATTCAGCCAGTCACACATCGAACATGTCTGCACCAAGCCAGAGCCATCAACGAGATGTTGCAGACCCTCGATTGATAAAATATACGTAAATATTTTATAATCAGACTTTATTAAAATTTGTGCTACATTCGAAGGCTCTTTCAGTGGGGGTGAAGTGGGCTCTTCAATATTTTAAGCATGGGTTGTTTCACACCGTGACCCACCCCCCAAAATTCTATCTTCATCTATAAAGTACTGTTTTGTTAATGGTAGGTTGTTCCACCGATCAAACCAATGAATGACCTTTTTTACTCCAACCAGTGTTGCCAACATTTTGAGAGCTAAAAGCGTAATCAAAAACCAGAAAAGCGTAAATGGCGTAAAAATTTTCCTTAAAAAAGCGTATAAAGCGCTATGTATTTTTTTCTAACCAAAATTGTCAATAAAACACTTTTTTTAAACTAAATACTGTTTTATTAAACAATTTAGATCGTATCTTATATAAACATTTCATGTATATAAGCGTATACATATTTTTAAACAAGTAAAAAAGCAGTAAGTTCGGCCGGGACGAACTTTGAATACCCTCCACCATTTAAAACGAATTAGGAAATTTACAAAAAAAAATCCATAAAAAATTCTGTTAAAATCAACAAAAATACCCAATATCGGAAGATGCCGATATATTGAGGATATACGATATTGTGGACCTTACCGACAATTCTATTTCAGGGGGTAAAGTACTCACAAAGAACTCCTTGTGTAGAATTGCAGACAATTCCATTGAAAAATGTGTCTTAAATCAACAACAACATATATAAATATTTCATGTATATAAGTGAATACATATTTTTTAAAAAATATGATATATTAGGAACATTTTACATGTGGTTAAAACTTGCAGAAATATACATTTTTACAAACAATTGTGTTCACCCATAAAACCCATAGCTTCAAATTCAGTTGAAGTTATGTAAACTCGTACAACAAAGCAGCCATGTATAAACTTACGTTTTTTTCTCGTTCATTTCACTTTTCCTTCAATTGGTTTATAATACACAAAATTCTTCGTTTTATTATGGTTTATTAAAAAAGAGTAAACAAAAGAACTTCAATGACAGGAATGAGACGTAAAGAATTTGCAGTAAAGAACTTGCGACAAGTAGATGTCATACTATCAAAATATTCGAATGTATAAACATTGTCATATTTAAAAATCTAAAACGCGCTAAAAGCACCAACAGAAAAGATGAAAAGCGTACGTACAGTGCTTTTTTTCGTTTCGCGCTATGCCAACTATTTTGGCGTTTTAGGGGGTCTAAAAAGCACCATAAATAGCGCGAAAAGCACTAAGTTGGCATCGCTGACTCCAACATCAAAATCAAACATATCGCATCTGTTTGACGCAACATCAAACCAAATATATCTAGCTGAGGGAGCAGAATTTTACATTCTTTCATTCCCTCATTTTCGTACATCGATTCATTCTCATTTCCTCTTCTTCAATTCAGTCCATTTCTGACTGCGGTCGAACGTTGTCGTCGTGTGTTAAGTGTCGCGAGGCGTCGTGAATTCGGTATGAACGGTTTACACAAATTTGAAACAAGTGAAATAATAAAACCAAAGGCAGATATGAATTGCTTTCGATAAAAACGAGTGTGCCTACAAGTAACACAACAGCTCATGCCAATTGAGAGCTGGGCGAAAAGTTCAGAGATACAAAATTGTCATTATTGAAATTTGAAAATGTCAATAACAAAAACCGGTTAAACGTTAAACGCCTCAACGACAAGTGAAGTGAGTGGCAAGTGGTGTTTACAAGAAAGATAAAAAGCGTTACGCTTTCGATGCAAAGAAAACAAGAGACGCGAATTTAAGTAACACAATTGAATTTCGAATCCAAATCCATGTAACAACGGCAACAGTATTCGAATCAAACAAAACAAACAAATTCCAAACAAAAAAAAAAAAAAAAATATTAAAAACACACACGCACGCATTCTGCTAAAACAAGTTCCTGTTGCTTGGCAAACGCATACCAACAAATTCCGAAGTAAACTCTGTATTGTGGATTATAAATCGCCGAAATTACTGCCCAGCAGTCACAACAGTTTTAACAAATAAACAACAACAACTGACTGGATTACAAACGAAATGGATTATAAATATAAACAACATCTCGCCGTCTCACCTTGAATTGTTGCTGTTTTTTTTTTTTTTTTTTTTTTTTTTTGATAATTTTTACATTTCTGCACGGAAAGGCGAAAATTATCATCTGCGTATTGTAATATTCGATCAGTTCCGATTTCGAGAAATGCAATTAATTGTAGACAAAATTCCCATGTTTTCGAAACAGAGCACCAAACGCAACTCAAAAAAGTAAGTACTCGACGTACAGCACCAGCAACAACTGCAACCACAACAAAAAAATACTCATTAATTCCCTCAAAATCGTCAAAAACGACATCGCTATGACGAGCCGTGTCCGTGCATATGCGTTCGACCGCTCACAGTGCAAGTGCAGTCAGCTCGACTTCATTCATCCATCCAATCGGATTTAAAAGCAACTGGTCCTCGGTACATCGTTGAAACCGATCCATAGCAAAAAAATAAAAAAAAACATTGTGTTTGGAAGTGCAAAGTTGATTAATTTGTTAGAGAAAATCGGTTGTTTTGCGTATTCCGTGGAATCTGAAGTCATTTGCAATTGAATTGGATCCGATCGCCGGCAAATTTATCAGTGGTTCGCTGCCGTGTGTTTGTGTTCATTGAACCACACCAACATAGCGCTCGACCGACGTCCGTGGTGCGCCTCCTTGGGCTACCCTCGTGCAACTGTGCTGTTCTCATGCTCGGCGTTAAACGACGACGCGGCTAAACAGCAAAAAAAAGAAACAACTCGACACACTCGCTGCAATCGAAAATATTTAATTGAGGTAAAATATCTAATTTCTGTGTGAAAACTTGTTCTGCTCTCAAAATTCCGTTTTGTTTGATAGTTTTAATTTTTGGAAACAAAATAATCGACTTCAACAAACAAACATTAATTAGATATTTTATTTGCAATTTTTCGTTGTTGTTGTTTTAAAATTAACTAGCTTTTTGTTTGTTACAAAGCTTCACTTCCTTGACGTCACCGTGTGCGGGACGAGAAAGAGTCTGCTTCCAATAGGCACCTACCTGAAATAAGGTTTTGCATCTTAATAGAATCCAGTGCAAAATGCAATTATTTCTGCATCTGTGCATTAATGCTTTATGACTGCTTGTTTGCATTGGTTGGGATTGTCCGACGTGACTTCGAAGATCGTACCTCGGCATTAGACGGCATCAGAAGATACTTGAGGACTTTAATTTCCTCCTCAAGACGTTAATCAGTTTATATACACTTAATGGCCGTCCCTGGCTAAAAGGCTTAAATAATATGGTTCAAAAACTGAACGATGGTTCAAATGTAGGGTGAACCCCTAAACCCAAGCAATCCAAATTGAAAAGTGCTTTGCAGACCTGGCTATGCATTTACTCTTGATGGGCGGAGGTAGGAGAAAGATCGAATCTACATATACAATCTTTACAATTGATCAAACCTTGATCGAAATATTTGAATTCGCAAAATCTAAAAAAATCGGTATCATTTCACAAGTTTTGAGAATCATAACTTACTAAATCTTTGATTTTTTGTGTGAAATAATTTGTGCCTCAAATGACTCACATTCACACTATCCCTAATTATGATTAAAAAATTGAAACGTGCCAAGTTCGAAAAAAATATATTGCCATTTTATGAGAGTTATGATTATGGAGGATGGAAGAAATATATTCCAAGGAATTTAGGTTTTTTTGATACATTTCATCGTTTTTGATCCTACATATTAAAATTTCAATATTGTAATGTGGCTAATTTTTTGTAATCGGACTCTATTTTCTTGTTTTTATGAGTTATTACTCTTTTGCGCAGAAATAGGACCTTTGTGAGAGAGGCTCCAGAAAGAGTGTGTCTATGATGCAGATTTTTGGACCTAACCTAAGTCTAATGCAAATATTACAATGTATTTTTAAACTTTTTAATCAACATAACTATACAAAATATACATATTTTTGCTATTTGTATGTTTAACGAGCATTGTGGAGACTAGCTGTTTTATGGCCAAGTAAATTTCTGGATGTCGTATTTTTTCTTTCGGCAATACTTTGCCTTGGGTAGAATCTATGTTCTCGTGGTTTTGTTGCGATCTGAGTAGTTTTGGCGAATATATTAATTACTCGATGATGTTATGCCCCAACTTACTGAGAAGGATATGCACGACGCCTCGGTTAGCGAACAACTCGATTTTTTTGACACACAGTACTTTAACGCACAACATGTTACTTCTGCATTGTTTCTCTTACGTATGTCACCTAACGCTCGTCGTGGGGACCTTAATGAACTTAAAAATAATCGTGGGGATTCTTAACCATACTTTTGGTATTTAATGGACAGTTCTTCCCATATTTAATTGACTTGTGGTTTTCAATCAATAAAAATTAAGGAAAACATGACAACACTGTCTTTGAATTTGTTGATGCTACCCGAATAAGTATATTTCCTTTTACAACCAGGGCTGCCGATTAATCGACATTTTGACGATTTTTATTAATTGTAACTTAATTGCAGTTCAATAGAAAAAATTACTATATATAGACATAACTTCCTGATAAACTAGCAAAATAATAAACCCGTTCCTAACGTGACCTTAAAAATACAATTCTTAAAGATCTCAGATAAATATAGAATTCTTGTTTATAAATAAAAATGTGTACTCAATAATGCTATTCTTTTATACAAAAATAAATTTGTTATTCTATTTTTATTGAAATGCGTTTTTGTGCATCTCTATTTTCTGTTCTTAAGATAAATATTACTTGGTTCCGATTTTTGCCAATTTTCACAAATACAAATTCCGATTTTTCCGATTTGTTTTCTGAAAATTAGACGTTTTATCTTGAAATTTAGTTGGCAGCCCTGTTTACCACTCTTAACAGTACTCTCGTCGCTTAGACAACAACATGGCCTGTTGCTGTTCAATTACTTGTTTGAATGTGTGTGTGATTTGAAAATAGAGCGTACACACTGACCATTACAGAGACAGCGAATCGTCTTTCTACTTCCCCCACCAGTGGGCCAGAATATTACGAATTCGCGCCACCCGAGGTTAAATTAAAAACATTACTCATTGTTGTTGTTGCTGGTTTCGTATGCATTGATAAATTAAATAGGTATTTCGTAAATGTTGCTTCTTTTCGTCACCCAATTGTCTTCTTTATTTATGCTCTTGGCTTTGTCTTCATTTTTGGTTGGTTTGTAAATTGTCTTCGTGTTTTGTTATCTTCATTTAAAAAAGTATCGCTTCGAATTTAGTTATACAGATAAACAGGTAGGTATATGCGTACCTACAATTTGTCAATAAAGTGTTTGTAATAGAAAAATATTACACAGTCTCAAATCATAGTAGATAATCGGTACCTATAACTATTTAGGGGCGAAAACGGAAAGCACAACAAATAGTTAAGGTCAACCACAAAAACCTCACTGATGTCTGTCAAGATAAATCTAAATTCGATTAGCAAAGATACAAACTCCGGCTCAGAAAGGGTTAATGAAGAGAGAGAGAGAGAGAGGGAAAGCAAGAAAGAGAGAGGTAGTAAACCAGAGAAGGTATTTCATTTTAATTTATTTTTTTTTGGTTTATTACCTCTCTCTCTATATTAACCCTTTCTGGACCGAAGAAAAAAACCATCTTGATTTGTATCTTTGCTAATTAAATTTAAATTTATCTTGACAGACATCACATAAAGGTACCTCCAAATATTCGGTATTCTTATGCTATTATCGACATTATTCACCGTAATTGTTTCAAATTTCGTCTTTGTAGGTCTTAAAGTTCCTTCCAAATGGTGGAGGGTATTTAAAATTCGTTCCGGCCGATCTGGTTGTCGAAAATGCATATTTTGTCGACTTTAGGACAACCCTTTAACCTTTTTGTCCCGAAAGGAGGCATCAGGAAAAATTGCATAATTATAAATGTTTGACAAAAATATGCAATGCGTCGGTGTGCTACGAAGCTATTGTAAGTTAATTCTAACGTTTAGTCATAAAAATTCTAAATTATTGAGTTTAACTTAAAAATGCCGACTACTGGGACATAACGAGCATGGGATCCCTTAAGGCGATGTTACATAAGCAGCTAGGCATCATAGCCAGTCATATTAATGTCAAATTGTAAGGAGGAACGACGGCAGAAACTGAGTGCGGCTCTGGCATTCTTTTATGATATGTCACAAAATATGCCATGCGAATACTTCAAGCTGCTTATGTAATCACACCTTCACCCTAGGTACAGTATTCTTGACTATATCCTGAAAAATGTTGGATAACAAATCAATATTTCATGGGTCTATGAAAGCCACACTCTTTTTGGTATACATTTATCAATTTATATCAGTAAGGACAGCATCGTTTGCAGCTAATTAGTTACTCATTTTAATGAGTACCTGATATGCGGAAACTAAAATACCTAGCTTCATACATATGGATGTTGGATGCATTTCTAATTTGACGAAAATGTGGTCCACGAAGAAAAATTAGCAGAGTAACTATAGTTTTGCGTGGAGCCAATGTCACCATTTAATCTGTTTATTTTTACATTTCAATTTTAATGCATACGTGATTGCCCTGATATGGGTCTTGGATAGTAATGTCCAAACCAATGTAAGAAGATGTTCTTAATTTCAATTTTTTAAAGAACTAAAAACAGCTCAGAACGCAGTAAAATTTCAAGCTTTCTTTTCAAAATAATGTTCTATATATCTTAAATGACTTATTTCGGCACAAAATAGGTACATTTATCCATACACACGTTTAGAATAAGCACTTTTGTTACAACCGATTTCAATGTGTTGTAAACTATTTTCGAATATTTAAAATGACTACACACACAAATCATTGGGTGTGTGTGATTTGGTTTTCGATTCACAGGGATTCCAAATATGTGGCTATTAATAGCTTCTTTGATTCCCAAATAATGTGTTTTCATGAGGAGCTGCAAAACCACCACCATTGGCCGCCACCACCTTTTACAGTTACATTATCAGCAACCAGAAACGCTGTTGTCACCACTACCATCGCAGACACCCCGGTTACTAGATTGAGACTTCGTCACCCTCTTTCAGAAAAGGCAATGTGTTCAAGAAATTAGAAAATCATGCCGTGCCGAAAGATGAGAAAAACTCGAATTTCACACGGGAACACAAAAGAAAATCATGGAAAACAAACAGCAAGAGCATGAGATTTTCGAATCAACATGTCAGCAAGCCATGACGCACATAAGGCAATCGGAAGAATG